ACAGGCTCTCAGGACTCTAAGAATGGTCAGGATGGGTTCGGATGGGAAGGCTTTTTCGAAGGTGACTTTTTTTTTTTTTTTTTTTTTATAAGACAGAGTCTTGCTCTGTTGCCCAGGCTCCAGTGCAGTGGTGCAGTCTTGGTTCACTGCAACCTCTGCCTCCTGGGTTCCAGCGATTCTCCTGCCTAAGCCTCCCAAGTAGCTGGGACCAGAGGGCACCCGCCACCATGCCCGGCTAATTTTTTGTCTTTTTAGTAGAGATGAGGTTTCTCTGTGTTGGCCAACCTGGTCTTGAACTCCTGGCCTCAAGTGGTCCACCTGCCTCAGCCTCCTAAACTGCTGGGATTACAGGTATGAGCCATGGCACCTGGCTTGGAAGGGGACTGGGCTGTATGAGGGGGCAAGAAGGTATTTCAGACAGAGAGTGGCAGGGACCATAGTGAATGGGGTTGGGGTGGGGCTGAGTGGATGGAGCAGCCAATGCACGGTCAAGGAGAGGGCCAGTGGCATGGAGGAGGGGAGGAGTGGGAGGGCAGGCCCCATCAGGTCCCTGATCAGGACAGCCCAGGAGGCCCACTTTATCATCTCTCTCATGTCATCTGCACAGATCTCTGTGTTGGGCCCTCCACTTGTCTTCATCGTGAAACATACAAGCCTTTCTCATCCCGAGGCTTTGCAGCTGTTGTTCCTTCTGCCTGACACACTGTGCCCCAAGTTGTCTGTGGCTGGCCCCTTCCCATCATTCAGTCTCGGTGGAGATCTCGCCACCTCTGTTCATTCATTCATTCAACAGATAATGAGTGAGCACACACTGTGTGCACTCAGATACAGCAGTGAATAAAAGGACAGAAGGCCTTGAATAGGAAAAAGAAAGCTACTGCTTGTGGAGGATTACACAGGTACTCAACAAGATTAATAAGTAAGCTATTCCGTGTGTCCAAGTGTGCCCGGGGCTAAGGAGAAAAGCAGTGCAGGGAAGGAGAGAGAACGTCCCGGGAGGTTGCACCTTCAGGTAGGGGAGGGCATGAAGACATCTAGAGAAAGTGGCCCAAGCAGAAGGAACAGGGAGCGCACAGACCCTGACAAAGGAATGGTCTGAGACCTTTCGGCCACTAAAGCCTAGTTGCTGGATCTTAACATCCTCCTTTCTTTTTTTCTGAGACGGTCTCGCTCTGTTACCCAGGCAGTGGCACAATCTCAGCTCACTGCAACTGCCACCTCCTGGGTTCAAGCAATTCTCCTGTCTCAGCCTCCTGAGTAGCTGGGACTACAGGTGCATGCCACCATGCCTGGCTAATTTTTGTATTTTTAGTAGAGACAGGGTTTCACCATGTTGGCCAGGATGGTCTTGATCTCCTGACCTCATGATCCACCTGCCTCGGCCTCCCAAAGTGCTGGGATTACAGTTATGAGCCACTGAGCCCGGCCCATCTCTCTTTTTGATCAGACATAGGCCTGATCTCTGTCAGAAATCATCCCACTTTTTGGTTACTTTTTTTTTTTTTTCATATGGAGCCTCGCTCTGTCCCCAGGCTGAAGTGCAGGGGTGCAATCTCAGCTCACTGCAACCTGTATCTCCTGGGTTCAAGCCATTCTCCTGCCTCAGCCTCCTGAGTAGCTGTAACTACAGGTGTGCGCCACTACGCTCGGCTAATTTTTGTATTTTTAGTAGAGACAGGGTTTCGCCATGTTGGCCAGGCTGGTCTCAAACTCCTCACCTCAAGTGATCCACCCACCTCAGCCTCCCAGAGTGCTGGGATTACAGGCATGAGTTACCCTGCCTGGCTGAAAATCATCCCATTTTCTGATTTGTGTCCTGTGAAGTGTCTGTCGCTCCCCTGTCACTGCTGTATCCCTGGCCTAGGACAGTATCTGCTCCATGCCAAGCTCCTGCTCCTTCTAGGGGACCTGTGTGGAAGGGAATGCCATCTCCCTTTACAGAGGAGCTGTCTGCAGAGGCCACGCGGCTCAGAGGAGCTGTATGGTGCAAGGCTCTTTCCCTTACAACCCCTGGCTCCCTCCAAGAATGGGTTAAGTAGGTAGGATCTGTTTATACTGGGCAGCGCTAGGCCCGGCTTCCTGAAGCTTCTCTGCAGAGAATCTGCTTGTCTACCGTGGGGAGCTGAGGGGCCACCTGGAGGTGAGCCCAGCCAGGCCCAGACCAGCCCCCTCTTCAAGAAAGTGGCGCTTTCCCATGCTTTGACCTGGGCAGTGGGTTGAAGTGAGGGAATGCCATGCTCACCCTGCCTTGGTCCTCCTGGCCACATCACCCCACGACCATGAGGTCCCAGCCCCCTGTGGGAAGAGCAGCAGGTCCACGAAAAACCACCAGCCCTGCCCAGCCAGACCTCACCAGCACTCTGTCAGCAGCAGCCAGTCCCCAGGCCCAGATTGCTGGGTTGGCTCTGAGCGGCACATGTTGGGGTATGTCTGCATGTGTCCCTGACTTTTTTTTTTTTTTTTTGAGATGAGTCTTGCTCTGTCCCCCAGGCTGAAGTGCAGTGGCACAATCTTGGCTCACTGCAACCTCCACCTCCTGGATTCAAGCCTCCTGCCTCAGCCTCCCGAGTTGGGACTACAGGTTCCTGCCACCATGCCGGGATAATTTTTTGTATTTTTAGTAGAGACAGGGTTTCATTGTGTTAGCCAGGATGGTCTTGATCTTCTGACCTCGTGATCTACCTGCCTCAGCCTTCCAAAGTGCTGGGATTTACAGGTGTGAGCTACAGTGCCCGGCCGTGTTTCTGCCTTTTAACTGCAGGGGCATTGTTGGGCATCCTCCTCCCATATTATCCATCCTTCACGCTGCCCAAAGCCCTTCTGACTTGGGATCCAGTCTGAGTTCTGCCGCTTCCTACTTGGTGACCTTGGACAAGGTGTTTCGCTGCTGTGATCTGTTTCCTCACCTGTCGAGTGGGGACATTCCACTTACCTTTCAGGTGGCTTCCGAGATCAGGGTGTTGTTGAGGAGCTCCACGCTCACAAACATACTCAGCGCCAAGGAAAGGAGGTGGCCAGGACATTCAGTGACCCATGACAGTGGCTCTCTGGGTACTGGGGTTTAGGGAGGATTTTCTCCTCTGTATTTGCTTTTTCGACAATGGGCACAGACTACTTGAGCAAAATTGTTTAAATGCAATAGGCTGCAGAGGGTTTGGTACACTCATTCCTGGGTGCACAGCAGGTGCTCAGTGTCCTCACCCCCCTGACTCAGTGGGGCCCCCTCCTGATGACATTGCTATACCCTGCCTCCCTCCTTCCTACCAGCATCTCCTCCCAGCCCCCAGTTCTGCCTTGTCACCTTTGAGCCTGTGTGGAGTCTTTGGCACAGATGGCCCTGTGCCCTCTTCTCCCCTCCCTGGAGTCTGCAGGTGGTGGTCACTCTCCAGGGAGCCCCCATCAAGCTTCCTCTGACTTCTGACCCAGTGACCTCGGCCTGGGCCCTGGGTTGGGGTGTGAGCCCCCAGGAGTCCAACTGGTTTATGAACGTGAACTGCCCTCTCCCAGGCTGGAACCCTCCCCCAGGCTGGAACCCTCCCCAGGCTGGAATGCTGGGCCGGCAGATCCCAGTGTCCTCTCACTTCCACTCCCAGAAGCCCCAGGGGCTTTCCCAGCCAGTGCCTATTCTCTGAACCCCCTCAGGGCCTTGGATCAAGTGGACCCTAGGAGTTTCCCGGCCACCTGCTCTTCCCCAGCAAAGTGGGGGCCCCACCTTTGGGCTGACTCCTCCAAAATATAAAGGCATATCTCATACTGACCTTGACCCACCTTTTCAGTTTCCCCAGAAGGGGGCTGGTTCCTGGTGTTCGGTTTAGAGGTAACTGACCCTTCAGATCCTTTCACTCAAGGAGGATGTGGCTCTGCCTCTTTTTTTTTTTTTTTCAGAGGTTGTTTTTATTCTGGTGCCCAGGCTGAATTGCAATGGCCTGATCTCTGCTCTGCAACCTCCGCCTCCCAGGTTCAAGTGATTCTCCTGCCTCAGCCTGCTGAGTAGCTGGGATTACAGAGTCTGCCACCACACCTGGCTAATTTTTGTATTTTTAGTAGAGATGAGGTTTCCCCATGTTGGCCAGGCTGGTCTTGAACTCTTGACCTCAGGTGATCCACCTGCCTTGGCCTCCCAAAGTGCTGAGATTACAGAACTGCCTCTTTTTTACAGTGTGATTTTGCAGAATCGGGTCACCCTCCCAGCATGGCAAGCCCTCTGCCAGAAGACACCCCCAATTCTGCCACGCACATTACCTACCTTCTCCCACTCGACCCACATCACAAGGGATCCTATCATATGCAAAGTCCTGACCTGATAATTAATTTTTGCCACCTCCCAAGAACCCGAAATCCTTCAAGCCTCAGTTTAGATTTTCTTCTTTTCTTTGTTGTTTCACCACATTGGCCAGGCTGGTCTCAAACCCCTGACCTCAGGTGATCTACCTGCCGTGGCCTCCCAAAGTGCTGGGACTACAGGCGCCCATCACCACGCCCAGCTAATTTTTGTATTTTTAGTAGAGACAGGACTTTCACCGTGTTGGTCAGGATGGTCTCCATCTCTTGACCTTGTGATCCACCTGGCTCTGCCTCCCAAAGTGCTGGGATTATAGGCGTGAGCCACTGTGCCCGGACTTAGATACCTTCTTCTCAAATATGAGCTGCCCTCCCCACTTCAGGCCAGGTGTTGTCTCTACCTGCCCCTGCCCGGAGTGCAGCCTCCAGGGTGGGGATTAGATCTGCTTCCTTCCTCACCCTGCTGGGAGTGAGCAGAGCTGTGCCCCAGGTGGGCCTGTGTCTGGGCTTCCCAAGGATGGGCCTTGCTGTCCTGTAGTCACGAGGAGGCTGAGCTACTAGAAGCCAGAAGCTGGAGCACAGAGGCTCCTTCCCCTTCCCCCAAGGATAATCCAGAAATAGTTTCCCCTTGGGCTGGGAATGGATTCTGTGGTGGGCGGAGAGTTTGGGGGCCTCAAGCTGGTTTCTTTATTGGGAGCAGATTTCTCCTGATTATTCTCCACTTGGGCCCATGGGAAAGAGAACCTTTCTGAGCACACCCCAATAGACCACAGGAAGGTTGGACTGGGGCTAGCCAGAGAGAGGGGAGGGGACCCGCAGAGACCCCGGGCACAGTGGGATGGGCCAGCACTCTGACTGAGTGTCCTGTGCCATCCGTGCCCACTCGAGTTCCTCCTGGCTGTGGCTGATTGGAGAGGCTGAGGCGAGAGCCCATGGACAGCCATGCCCGAGGTTAGAAGGAAGAGGCATCTGCGCTGGGGCCCTGGCCTGGAATCCCTTGGGCCACCCCGATTTGGGCTCTGATTGGGGAACAGCCTTGGTGTTTCCACCTTCCACCCGACTTTGGAGGAAGAGGCTTGTGAGGTTTCCTTTCTGCTTTGCTGGAGTTCCATGGTTTCTCAGAATACAGGTTAACAATTAAGCTAATTAACCTCAGGGCTGGCAGGCCCTCCTTGTGCTCATAAAGCCAGGCTAAATGGCTTCCTCCCCCAGCTTTTCCTTCCCCATTATAAGGCCACAGGTGGTGAGAGCCTTCAGCCCTGAGGTGGTCCGGCCTCTAGATCTGAGCGTGGGGAAGCCAGGGTACCTGGGCGGTCACTGTGAAGCCGGCCTGGCCCCGGGGTGGCTGCCTACTAGACTTGGAGAGAGAGGGCCGCTCCACCTGTTTGGGCCGGGCCTCATCGATACCTGAGTGCCAGGACAGGCCCCTACAGCTCCTCCTGTTTCTTCAGGTTTCCGGTGGGGGCTGCAGACCAAGCAGAATGAGGCGGTTCTTGAGGCCAGGGCATGACCCTGTGCGGGAGAGGCTCAAGCGGGACCTGTTTCAGTTTAACAAGGTAAGTTAAGGAGAGCAGGGGAGGCGACCTGGGTTTTGGGCTGGGGAGCTCAGGCTGGGGCTGGATTAAGGTATAGCTCTTACATGGTGCCTGCAATGCCTCCTGGGACTCTGACTTTGGAAATGGGGCCCGGTGAAAGGGTTTTTATAGGAAAGAGGAATTGGATGCCCTCATGACTCCTCATCCCAAGTCTTTCACTGGCTATGTGACCTCTGCAAGTCACCCCACCTCATCGAGCCTCAGTTTCCCTACCTGTATCATGGGAATAAAACGATCTGCCCTGCCTGCCTTGGCACAGGGTTGTCAAGGAGGCTTGGGGATGTGCGTGATGAAAAGATGAACTCTGAAGGGGGTAACAGTGTCCCTTGGGGCCCTGGAGTCACAGGCCATGGCTGTTTATCCCTTCTCAAATTGCCCCTGAAGGAAAATGCAGCTCCCCTGCAGTCTGAGCACGTGATTCGTTCTGGCAGGCTCCAGCTGGGTGAGTGGGGAGAGGTGCCAGGAGAATGAGCCAGAACTGGCCTCGGACTACAATCCCAAACCTGTACCTGGGGCAGCAGAAGCCCCATGGGGCTTCCCCTCAGGGGCCTGGGGCCTGAGAAGGTCAGGACAGGCCTTAGTGCACAGGAGGTGTATAATGTGGCTTTTCAGCTCCTGGGCCACCGACCAGTGTGGGGCCTTATCGCCTGTGCTTTGATTCACTCTGCTGGGAAGGTGGGCTGCAGGGACCAGGACACTGTGTTGCTCTTGCCCCGGGGATCCAGGAGCCTCCCAGCATGCTGAGGGCTGGACGTCTGGCTCTTGTTGGGGGCTTCTGTTTGGGCTCCCTTGCCCCTAAAAGGAAGCAGTGCATGTAAGACCAGGCAGTCTGGAAAAGGGATGTCTCCCTGTGATGAATGAGGAATTCTCTTTGGTTGTATTTATTTATTTTTTAAGATGGGGTTTCACCGTGTTGGTCAGGCTGGTCTCGAACACCCGACCTCAGGTGATCCGCCCGCTTTGGCCTCCAAAGTGCTTAGATTACAGGCGTGAGCCACCATGCCTGGCCTATTTATTTATTTTTGAGATAGAGTCTCGCTGTTTTGCCCAGGCTGGAGTGCAGTGGCGAAATCTCGGCTCACTGCAACCTCTGACTCCTGGGTTCATGGGATTCTTCTGCCTTAGCCTCCCGAGTAGCTGGGATTACAGGCACTCACCACCACGCCTAGCTAATTTTTTTTGTATTTTTAGTAGAGATGAGGTTTCACCATGTTGACCAGACTGGTCTTGAATTCCTGACCTCGTGATCTGCCCACCTCGGGGCCTCCCAAAGTGCTGGGATTACAGGCATAAGCCACAGCACCCACCTGGTTGTATTTTGTTTGTTGATTTGAGAAGTGCAGAAGTCAGCTTGTCCAGGTGCGTACTCAACTTTGCCACGTAGGAGCTGGATGATCGTGTGCCTGTCACCCAACCTATAGGCTTGTTAAGGGCTTACGTGGGATGAGGTAACAAGTGCCAGGATAGTGGCCCAGGAAGGTTGGCTGCTGCTGTGGGGTGGAGGGGACCTCCCTGACCTCCCTGTTGGGAGAGGTGGGTCAGCGCTCCCCACGTGCCCTGCCATTTTCTTCTGGGTTTCTTAGCCTGTGGGAGAAGCTGGTGTCCCTGATGGAGCTTTGCCACAAGGACATTTGCCTCCGGAGTTAGGGCTTTCCTATACCAGCGTACCTCCCACCAGCTCGCTTTTGGGGGTGCAGGTGTTGGGAATGGGAGATCTCAGGACCCCTAGAGCCTGCTACTCTTGTTCTGGAGGGAGTAGCCTATGGGTGCTGGGTCTCAAAGCTTCAGTGTCCACAGGGGATGGAAGGGAGCTGGGTGACCCCTATCTGCCTTCAGTCTCTCACTCTGAAAAGGTGGCAGAAACCTGACCCACAGGCTCAGCAAACGGGGCTGAACTCCTCCCCTGCTCCCAAAGTTCTTTCTGTGCAACTGGGGTGGAGCTGGGGTGAGGAATTGTCCCTCCCTCTTTCCCCTGTTCTCCAGCAGTGGTTCCTAAACTTGATTGGCCCACTCCCAGGCCTGGGGGTGGCAGAGGGAGGCTCCTGGGTCTCCTCCTCCCCTGCCTTCCTCTTTGCATTCATATGCAAGAAGCATGCATTGAGTACTTACTAGATCCACAGCCCATGGCTGTGGGAATCTGATTAGGCCTCTTCCCTTCACTTTTATAGTCTGCAGGAAGGAGGAGGCTTATGGCCTGAAATTTCAGGCCTTGGGAGTAGAGAGAAGGAAGGGGAGAGCCTGGGGGACTCAGAAGCCACCTGTAGACTCATCCAGGCTCGGGGAGTGTTGTGGAGCAGGGTGGGATTGAAGGATGAGACCAGATCCCAGAGGATTTGGGATCCCAGATGGTCTGCCCCTCCACAGCCTAGGCTGAGGAGGCAGGGAGGATGCTGGATGCTGGCATCTGGGCCTGAACTGACTGACCCTGCAGCCCTGGGGGGTTATGAGCAAGGGAGTGAGTAATGGTCCCATTAACAATGTAGGAAAGATAAACCTGGAGATATTTTTACTCTTTGGGCAAAGCAGGTAAGCTCAGAGCAATTAGGAGACATTGCAGTGACTAGATAGAGCCCAGAAGGAAGGGGCTAGGAGACAAGGCATGAGTTGCGCACGGTTTCTCAGCTTCGGCACTCACGGATGATACTTGAGGCTGGCTGTGCTGTGGAGGTGGTCCTGTGCACTGTAGACTATTTATCAGTGTCCCTGGTCCTATACACACAGCCTGCCAAGATGTGATACCAAAAATGTCTCCAGACATTGCAGAGTGTCTCCTGAGGGGTAAAATCGCTCCTGGTTTGAGACCCATTGAATAGAGAACTATTCAGGGCATCCGATTGCAGAGACCTGCTGATGGGGCAGTAAAGAGAGAAAGGGCCGGAGGCGATGGCTCATGCCTGTCATCCCAGCACTTTGGGAGGCTAAGGCCAGCAGATCACAAGGTTATCAGTTAGAGACCAGCTTGAACAACATGGTAGAACCCCGTCTCTACTAAAAATACAAAAATTAGCCAGGCATGGTGGTGCACACCTGTAGTCCCAGCTACTCAGGAGGCTAAGGCAGGAGATTTGCTTGAACCCGGGAGGCAGAGGTTGCAGTGAGCTGGAATGGTGCAACTGCGCTCCAGTCTGGGTGACAGAGCAACACTTCATCTTGGGGAAAAAAAAAAGTGGGGGGGATGGGAGGGAAGATGGGTGTCCAGGATGACCATGGAGTCTCTGACCTGGGTGGGTGGTGGTGCCAGGCCTTGGGAGGGGGAGCCCAGGCCAGGAGTGGCGAAGAGCAGATTTGGGGAAAAGTAGTATTTTTTTATTGTTTTGATTTGCACACAATCACAACAACAGTGCTCTCCATTTATGGAGAGGTAGCTTGCCCAGTGGTAAGTGGTGCTAACTGCTGGGCTCACCAGCTGTGTGACCTTGAGCAGGTTACATGCCTCAGAGATAGACATGATACTCATAGCCATTCCATCCGTGCTGTTGATATGAGGACTACATGAGTTTCTGTGTGATTTGAAGGCCACACCTGGTGACTGCAGCATCTGTGGCTTGAGGTTGAGCTGGGGAGCCTTGGGACAGCTCCAGCAGATGGTGTGATACCCGGGCTAGAGCCTGGAGTGGCATGTGGGCTGTTGGTATAGGAGAGGGTCAGCCCCAGAGAGTGTTCACATCTGGCAGTTCTCAGGTTATGTTTTTTCCAGTGGTCCTGGAAGGCCAGTCTGCTGGGTACTGTGCTGGGACACAGTACAGTCAATCACAGCTTGACCCCAGGTTGCTTGTAGACGCTGGCTTCCGAACCAGTCCCAGCCTTTTTCTCCAACACCTTCCAGCTCAACTATCTTATACCCACACCAAGCCCGATGTTTCAAAGAGAGCAAGGACATCGCCCTGGGGGCCCCGAGAATGAGACGTCCTGTTTCTTTGGCTTCAGTACCTGCAGAGGATCTGTGATTGCGAACAGTCTCTGAACTCTGCCAAGGGCTGGCTGTCAGAGCAGTAACTCCAGTTCACTGAGGGCTACGTGCCAGGCATCAGAGGGCCTGGGTAGTGGTTAGGGGCAGGGACTTTGCAGCCACATGGCCTGGGTCTAGATGCTGGCACTGGGTCTAGATCCTGGCTCTGTTGCTTCCTTGCTGTGTAAGACACAGCAGACATGTTACTTAGCCTCTCTGTTCTTTAGTTTCCTCATCCGTAAAATGGGCGTTGTAGGGGAGCAAAACTGGCTTCCCTCCAGCCTTCTAGGTTCTTTGGCTGAGCCAGGAATTGAATTGACATGAGGCTGGGCACAGTGGCTCACGCCTGTATTCCCAGCACTTTGGAAGGCTGAGGTGGGTGGATCATTTGAGGTCAGCAGTTAGAGACTGACCAGCCTGGCCAACATGGCAAAACCTCATCTCTACTAAAAATATAAAAATTAGCCTCGTGTGGTGATGCACACCTGTAGTCCCAGCTACTCAGGAGGCTGGGACAGGAGAATGTTGAACCGGGGAGGTGAAGGATGCAGTGAGCCAAGATCATGCCACTGCACTCTAGCCTGGGTGACAGAGTGAGACCTTGTCTCAAAAGAAAAGGCGGGGGGACTGGGATAGGCTGTGACCAGGTTGACCAGGTTGTGGGAAAGTGAGGGGAGGAAGTGTGTGGTGAATGAAGCTTGTCTTATGTATGCAGAGACGGTCTCCTGGGTAATAAAAGTTGCCTTAGAGCAGCCCTCTTCCTGATACAAATATGGGTTGAGCATCCATGATCAGAAAATCTGAAATCCAAAATGCTCCAAAGTCTGAGTTTTTGAAGTGCCAACATGACTCTGAAAGGAAATGCTCACTGGAGCATTTCAGATTTTGAAATTTAGGATTTGGGATGGTCAACCAGTAAGTATAGTGCAAATATTACAAAAGCAAAAGGTTCTGAAATCCAAAATGCTCTAGTCCCAAGCATTTTATTTCTTTAATTTCGTTTTTTGTTTGT